ACTGTTATCTCAGACTCCAGCATTGGGAGTTCTTACTATGTCTAGAGATGACGTGACTACCTCCAATAACCTTAGCTATTTTCCTTTAACTCAGGTATTGCTCCACCTTGACAGAGAGGGATCTGGTTTGCGATTGGATAAGGGTGACTGGTCGGTGAATGGATGGAAGTGACCAATCTGTGATTGGATGGGGGCGACTGGTCAGTGATTGGATCGCAGTGACTTGTCAGTAATTGGACGGAAGGATCTAGTTAGTGATTGGATGGAGGTGACTGGTCAGGGAATGAATGGAGGTGATGATCAGTCATTGGACATGGTTATTGATTGGTTTAAGATCTGTGTTCCGGAATTGGATGAAAGTTTTGATCTTTGATTATGGGACTACCACATGTTAAAGATGTTTGGTCTCTGATTGGCAGAATAAATGTTCGGCAGTGTCCAATCAGTTTTCACCTTTATTTGTGGTCCGCTCTTATCGCTGCTAATCAGCTATTTGCTTACTGCATTTCATGGCAACGTATTAAACAATACGTCTGCCCGGGTAGAAGCTCAGGATACTGCCCAGCCCCGAAAGCCCTCTAACCCGCTTAGCGCTAGAGCGGAGCTGAGAAGCAGAGCTAGAGGCATTGGTCAGCGTGGTAGAGGATAGTGGAGCCTGGTCACTGATCAATGAGGGACAGGATCCAGGGCAGTGGTCAGTGAGGGACAAGATCCAGGGCAGTGGTCAGTGAGGGACAGTTTCCCAGGCAGTAGTCAGTGTGGGACAGTTTCCCGGGCAGTGATCAGTTTGGGACAGGATCCAGGGCAGTGATCATTGTGGGGCAGGATCCAGGGCAGTAGCTAGTGAGGGACAGGATCCAGGGCAGTAGTCAGTGTGGAAGAAGATCCCAGGCAGTGGCCAGTTTGGGACAGGATCCTAGACCCTGTGGCAGAATTATTAAGGAGTCTGAGCAAGGTGTTTGTAATCACAATGAGCTCCCCACTCTCATCTCTAGGAAAATTACGGAAAGTATCAGTACTCCTGCCAGAGCTGCAGGATCGTCGGTAAGTGAGATCTTGCTCCTTGCTCTGTTCTGTTCTATGCTGTAAATAAACAAATAAAAGTGACATTTCTCTAGCAAGGGCAGATGCGAACACAACCTGCCTCAAACTCCACCCCCCCCACCCAAGTCACACGCCATCCTGACTTGGGGTATTTTGGGCATGGGAAGAGATGGAGATTGTGATGTTGTGTAGTACCAGTAATCCTTAGACTTAGGCTAATGGTGTAGGATATGGATTAAAATTGCGTTATGGTGGTTGGTGAAATTTCATTTCAATTAATAAATCTGATATGTAAAAGCTAGTCTTAGTGATGATAACCATGACAGTGATCAAACAGCCATTTTGTTTCCTAATGTCCTTGAGGGAAACAAATCTGTTGACTTTACGCAGTCTGGACTACATGTGACTCCAGACCAACAGAAATGTGGTTATCCTATATTAATTTCCCTTTGAAATAGCTAAGCAAGGTACATAGTTCAAGGACAATTAGGAATGGGCAACAATTGCTGACCAGGTCAATATTCCACAAAAGAGTGAAGAAAAATTCAGTAATGCTACTTAGTACTGTAGTTGCAGTACCCAATACAGTTGACATGACTCTGTTCAGCTTGCTGCACATTGTTTAAAATTTAAAGCAGGATTTTGTCACAAATTACCAGGAGGTCTGCTAGTCTCCACAGTTCCTACACAAAACCTCTGAACTTCTGCCATCCCAAGAAGGAAAAGATGAAAAATTCTGATATTCCAATTATTTTGTGCTTTCTGTCATATAGCCTATGTCCAACTAGAGTACAATCCTATTGGTGAGGAAATAACTTTTATCATGCAGTACTGAGAACATGCTACATTGTCAGAAGTGTCATTTTCAGTTGAGAAGTTATACAGGAAAGTTATGCAGTCTGCCCTCTTGGATGGATATCAAAGTTGATTTGACATTATTAGAAGAAGAGTAAGGAAGCTCTCCAGGTTCCTGGTCAATATTTATACATCACCAATATTAATTTTAAATGAATAGTTATTTGGTCAGTTACCTAATTATTGCTTGTGGGAGCTTGCTATATGTGAATTGACTATCATGTTTCCTACATTACAACAGTGTTTGCATTTCAAGAATGGCCATTGTTGTATTGGATGTTGGATTATCAATCACTGGCAACTTATGGTTGGGTTTTGGTGCTGCTACCAATCATCTGTTGTATGCTGAGTGTATAATTACCTGTGATAGAGGGAAGACTTTTGATGGGTCTTAATAAGAAGATCCACTTGACACGTTAACAAGAGGCAGTTTACTACATTATAGCAATAGGTATAGGTTACTTTGGCTAGTTTGGCATAATTCCTTAAGTCTTTCAGGAGCCAGAAATGATGCTCTGTTTCAACTAGGACCTCATGCTAGATTGCTTATTCTCCATCCAAAGTGTGTGTAATATCATCAGATTGGGCGGAGCTCCATGCAGCTTCAGGCATAGACATAGTGGACTGAAGGGCCTGTTTCTTTGTTGTGTGACCCTATGACTCTATAACGCTTTAAGAACTATATACAATACCATATAAATGCAATTTATCTGTTTGCCTGTACGATCTTATGCATTAATATCAAGAAAGATTCTACTGGATGTTCTGTACATTGAAGAATTTTATGTAACCATAGCCTCAGTCTTCTCAACGGGCATGATATCATGTGTATAAAGAATAGGTAGCACATAGGTTCATACTAAAATACTCTAGTACCAGAATTTGCTTGCACCACTTATAGTCCAGGGTCACTATATTGGTCCGGTCTTTCTCCCTCATCTATTTGGAAAAACGCATATATTATCGTTTCATATAGGGCAACACTGCATAAACATGCGTCCTAACAATATATTCTTTAACCTGCAACCATATTGCTTTGAGTATGATGGTATCCTGAAGTTCAATGGAAAGGAACTTTAGTTTGAAGTTAAGGAAGATGACCTCCTTGACCTGTCCATCTTCCCTCCCACCTACCCACCCCTCCCTCCCAACTGACCAACCCCCATCCCAACTCCCTACCTACACTCGCCTTTACTGGCTCCATCCCCACCTCCTTAATCTGTCCGTCTTATCCCTACTATCTGCTCCTCTATCCACCTTCCATCATCGCCTCCCCCTCTCTCTATTTATTTCAGAGTCCCCTTCCCCTCCCCCATTTCTGAAGAAGGGTCCAGACCCGAAACGTCAGCTTTCCTGCTCCTCTGATGCTGCCTGGCCTGCTGTGTTCATCCAGCTCTACACCTTGTTATCTCAGACTCCAGCATCGGCAGTTCCTACTATCTGAGTTGGTTATAATATATGAAACAAATGTGGGTGGATGCTTTTGGAGGTTCTTGTCCTTCAGATAAAATGTTAAACCAAGATCCCATAAATTTGCCCATGATCTTTGAATATCCTAAATCACTTAATGGCCAATGATATACTTTTGAAATGGAACACTTGTAGTGTAAAGAAAAACCCATAGACAGGCTTGATAATTTGATAGAGTAACCTGTTTTAGTGATATTGGTTGCATTTTGGGTATGACCCCAGGGAGAACTCCACAGCTCTTCCAATTGTTCGGCAGGATCTTTAATGTTTCATCTGAAAGATGGCATCTCTGACAGTGCTGAACTTCCTCAGCACTGCATTGGATTGTCAGCCAAGATTATGTGCTCCGTTCTCTGGAGGATTCCTAAACCCATGAGCTCCTGAATCAGAAATGAGGATGCTCTACAGGATCAAGCCTGTCACTTGAAAGTAACGTGTATGTGTGTGTAAATAAATTATGTTGACAATCGTTATTTTGTGTTAAATTCAACACTATGATGTTGTGCCTAGTGAGTTGCTTGCCTGTAGCAAAAAATGGCTGATAGTCTAAAACAGGGACTGATTCGCCATCAGGCTGTGTTTTCACAATGAGCAACCTTGCACAACAGCCAAAGATAATTTTCAATTCTCTTTCTCCAGTCCTACAATATTTATCTATTCCAGTTGCAGACAGTGACCAAATTCCTTCACTGCAACATTTTTCACAACTGCTTGCACAGCAGAGTAGTATTTTATAATCCATTAGCAGCATTTTCAGTTTTCACCATTATTTCCATTTTTGAGACTTAATTGTATGTTAACTGTCCACCGCCATTCCAAACGTTGCCCCTTTCCACTCTGAAGAGTTGTGGTGATACCATTTGTGGCCTCCTCCCTCTCTCTTCCCATCTGCTCCACTCCCCTCTGCCATTTCACCTTTGAGGCACAATTTAGACAATGAGGATCAATTGTTCTATGGTTGCATCACATCTGAGCTGATCTCACCTCACACATACGACATTTGTTCATCAGTAGCAGTCTGGGAAGATTATCCAGCTGATTGTTATGGTCATAGACTGGAGTTTAAACCATAGAGTCATAACGTCTAATACTTTATGCCAGGACTACCCAGAGTGGAAGTTGGGACTCCTTGGAGGTTGCAGGCAAAAAGATTTGGGTCATGGCTAAGTTATAACAGCTGTGCTATGCCTCCAACAGACTGAGCCTTCCCCTGAACCCCTCAAAATCACAGGTCTCCTTCTCTTTCATACCCTCTCCCCTCACATTTCTTGTTTAAGAGCCACAGTAATATCCAAGCATCAAAATGGGGGTCACAGTGGGAAATATTGAGAACCACTGCTTTCTGATATCCTGTTCGACAAAGAAAGCTCTGCATTTATTTAGCTCCTTTCACAGTCTTGAGACATTTGAAAGTGCTGAAAAGCCAGCTAAATACTTCTGAAATCATAGTCACAGTTGTAATGTAGAAACCAGAGTAGTTAATTTTGTATGTAGTAAATTCCTCTCAGAATCAAGAAATAACAATTTTTAATATTGATAGTGTGTGAAGGATAAATATTAGCCAGGACACTGGGTAATCTCCCCCACTTAACTCAAAATAAAGGTTTGAGATTTTCTTAGTCACCTGAGATGACAGACAGGATTTCCGTTTAATCTATCAACAGAAAGATGGCATTTTTTGATTTGCAGTACTCCCTTCTGACTGCACTGACTATGCCAAACTGAATTGTTGCACAGGGTTTTAAATCCTCAGTCTCCTGAATTGGAGTCAAGCATGCTACCATTAAACAATAGCTGATACTTCTAAACCTATTGTAATTGTATATACACATCTTTTATTTTGTACTTTTGGAAATATTTTGTGTGTGTATACTCACATCACTGATAAGTGCCACTGTTTTAATTTCCTTTGGTGTATTTTTCACAGCAAGCAAGCAGTATGTTTTGAAAAGGACTGCTACACAGGTAAGGCAGCCAAATTCTCACGGACACATTCAAAATCTAATCCTGATGTATCCTGTAGCCAAAGTAGTTAACAAGAGCTGCTGAGCTGTCTCAATGCCAGGGTCTGCCATGCTGTGGAACATTAGTGGGTTCTCACCACACACTGCCTGATGATCCAGTGGTGGCAATATCTTCCAGTGTGGAATCAGTCTCTGCAGAGTGAACTGACCACTGGACTGGACAGGTAAGCTAGAGCTCTTTTTGAGAATTGGATTCTGCATTTTTTCCACTTGAGGCTACTAGACACACTAGTACCCGCAGAGTGCGTCTGCTTGGAGTAGGTAACAAAAAATCCATGAAAAGCTATTCCTCTGGTTCTGATTCCAAATGTCTCTGGCTTAATAAAAAAAAAACTGTTTCTCTCTAGAGCTTACACTCTTGATCACCATGTAATCCCAACTCAAAAATACCCATAGAGATATTGATGTAGACTAGGTTGATTTCAACTCTGACTCCTCCATCATGGTCCCACCCAGTAATGTGCAGTCTTTTGTTACTTTGTTTTGTGGACAAGAGAAATTGGGATTGTTCTCCTTGTAACAAAAAAGGTTCAAAATAAACTTTCTAGATCTATTCAAAATCATGTCTGTATCATGAAAAGGGAAATGAAGGGAAACTGTTTCTCGTGGCAGAAGGATCAGTTAGGTCAAGAGTCCAAAGATACCATAATTGGCCAGCTTGTCTGTTTCCTGACTCAGTTCCTGGCAATAGCTGTTTTGGCTGCCTCAGGTTTGGGGCCTGTCAGCATTACCTACCTCCGGGAGACAGGCTGCTGCCGGTTGGTTAAGTGGTCAAGGGCTGTAGATGACTGAAAAATCCCAGTCAGCCTCCAGTTACCCAATGTGAAAGGGACAGAAGGCAAGCACCAAGCAGTGTGAAAGCTAGAAGGCCAGTACTCCAGGAAGGCCTACAGACCCTCCCTACCTTCCTGGATCCAGGTGTAATCAGAGACCACTGTTTAATTTTGTTACCACTCACAGTCATAGACTGGTTGTTTTTTCTGTTTTTTTTTAACTCCGATAAAGGATGCTCTGTAGGCAGAACACAAGGGTAGTGAATTGAGAGGATAAAAGGTAAGAGGATCCATAATGGAAATTTGTATCAAAGAGAATGAAAGCTTAGTGAGTGAATAATATCATGGTGAGCAAGATGTAAGGCTGTGCAGCAGAGCATAAGTTTATGATTGAAAGGTGAGAGAACCTGAATATGATGAGCAGCTAGAAGCAAAAATAATCAGAATGGTATTATGAAACAAAAAAAAATGATGGCTTGAGGACTTTTATTTAATGTAAATGTCTGTTAGAACATTAGGTCCTGACCACAAGCAATTACTGAAAGTTAGAAAATCTCAATATTTGGGAGGAAATGAGTTAAACATTTAATGGAAAACATCAAATGTGTAGGGACTGAGGAGAAAATGGGATTGGAACTGTGATCTCCAACTTGACACTACACTGGCAGAAGGGGCTAGAGCCTAAGCAGCTTCCTATGAATCTGTTATGTGTCGGATATTGCTATAATGCATTTAGCATTTGCCTTGTTCTCATATTTATGTGTCTCCAGACTCAACCATCAGTGATGCTGAGCTCATGTCCACTATGGTGAAACGGCTGACCGATATGGAACAGCGGGTCCGGGTCCAGGCACAGGAGATCAGCAGGAAGGTAAGGGAGTTTTCTAGACAATGTCAGACAGAATTTCCCAACTGATGTCATGAAACAGTTTCCCAGCTCTCCACTCTGTCATAACACTGAGACATTGAAATATTGTTGTCAACAGAAGCTCAATCATATTCTCTCTCTTTTGACAGAACCAGAAAATTGCTGTGTTGGAAGAAAAGCTGAGTTTACTCCAGCTGTCCGATGGTAAAGGCCTTTTCATTACTGTAAATAAAATTATGTGCTGTGCACATACTGTATAGCAAAGATGCAGTGCAATGTGGTGAGAATTGTGCAAAAGCTTCTGCCTTTTATCTACAGTTGTCATGATGCTAACTGCAGTATTGTAAATGCACTGATAATGTAAAACTCACTGACTAGATAGTAGACCTTTATGGTTACACCTCTGCTGAATATTCTGCATCCTTTAGGAAAAATGTCAAGACCATGGAGTTAGTGCAGAGGGAATGTATCAGAAATTAGGGAATTAGAGCAGCCAGGGTTGATGTTAGAGCAAAGGGAAATTTAGGAGGGGTGTTTTTTGATGGAATAAAGAGGGAGCAAGTTTCTGCTGGTTTCACACAGATAATCTGGGACAAAATGAGAAGATTTTTCTGCAGACAATCATTAATCAGAGACAACACTAACTAGATTGGGAGCTGGGATTGGTAGGATAGGACAGAGAGCTCAAAATTTGGCAGACTTTTCTTTTTGCATTAATCCTGTTTCTCTTTATTTTTTTCTTGTAACAGCTGACAAACCCAAAAGACAACCGGAGTTGGAAAAATTACTTCAGCTTCAGAATCAAGTGTGGGAAATGGAGGTAAGAGATTCGCCTATGCATAGCAACCAAGTTTCATCACAGCATCTCCCACTTAAACTCTTTCTTGCTTCTCACTGTTGCCTATTGGAGTATAATGAGTTATGTTAGTAAACCATAACATGAGTGATGTCAGATTATAACACATCCCATGTAACTGAGACTTGAGCGCGTATGGTTCCAGGGTGGCCTCTGTAATCCCCTCTTATGTATAATGTAAATATATAACATATTTTGTTGATGTTTACTGACTTGGGTTTGGATCACCTTTTGTCAGACACTATCTTGCTGCATGTTGGCAGCAGTTTATAGATCCTATGGTAGAACTTCCAAACTATGCCACGGAAGGTTGGAAAATATTAAAGCAGTCAGCTATGCAGTGAGAATTCTTGGGGAACATCTTTAGGAGTAAACAAATCTTAGGAGGAATTGGTGCCTTGGATCGAGAAACTCCGGAATTGATCAGCCAGCCATCTGGGGACTAGGAAAACCCCACCAAAGAGACCATGTCAAGGACTACCAGTCAAGGTTGCAGAAAGCATTAAATGAGAGAATTAATGATCTGATCAGTGAATACTCAGCAAATGGCCATGTGAAAGAGCAGATTAATTCAACATTAACAATATCTTATTACAGCTAATTACAGATAAACATAGAATAATACAGTCTCTACAGTGTGGAAGCAGGCCATTCGGCCCTGTGAGTCTGCACCAACCCTCCGAAGAGCATCCACCATAGATCCACCCCCTCCACTTCCTATGGCTAATCCACCTACCTTGCACATCTTTGGACTGTGGGAGGAAACTCGAGCACCTGAAGGAAACCCACACAAACATGGGGAGAATGTGCAAACTCCACACAGTCGCCCAAAATTGGAATCGGACCCGGGTCCCTTGCGCTATGAGGCAGCAGTGCTAACCACTGAGCTACCATGTCACCCTACAGAAATTGGAAATGAAAGAGTGCACAGAAAATTCAGAAATCTGCAACTATGAATCATAGAAAGGAAAAAGCCATAGTTGTCTCCACTGCTTCATATGTACACTTTTTAGCAAAAAAGGATCCCATCAGTGTAAGAGAACAAGGTGTAGAGCTGGATGAACACAGCAGGCCAAGCAGCATCAGAGGAGCAGGAAAGCTGATG